GTCAGCAAAGCTGCCGAGTGGTTTGTGAGGGGGGAAGTTGCGTGTTCCGAGGGGATCATGAGATGCTGAGGCTGGAGGGCCTGGGGAGGTTTCAGGGCCGAGGCCCCCGGTGGGAGCAGGGCCAGCCCAGGGGCCGGGCCAGCTCTCTCAGGGCTTTGTCTTGAAAGCCTTACGGGCTCTTTGGGCACCTTGTTCCTCAGTTTGACACTCTGCACGGTGAAGAAATTTCTCCTTTACCCAGTACAGAACTTCCTTGTTTCAGCCCGTGCCCATTATGTTTCACCTTCCCCACTGTGCACCACGGCTGAGGCCTTGTGAGAACATCTCCTTGGGATGCTTGTGCTGTGGGTGTTGTCTGAAACGGAGGCAGGAGGAAAAAAAGGTGGTCTGTTTTAGCTGTAGTCTGCCAGGCTTCTTGACGTGGTACAGTATAACAAGGCCAATGAATTGAGGTACGCCTGTAACTGATGTGGGAAGTACCTCAGGAGGTAACAACTGGGGATTTTTTTCCATTAAAAATGTGTACAGCGATGTAGAACAAAGAGGCCTATAGCTTTTTATCCTGCTTAAAACAATTTCTCAGAAAACGTGTATTTCAACAGAGTGAAGTTCTCAAACTAAGCACATGGACAATGAAAACAAGGCCTATGAAAATTTGGTGTTTCCAATAGGAAAAAAACCCCTCTTCACTAATTATATATACAGCTTTGCAAATGAATTTATTTTTCAGTTGTTTACATTTGGAATGTATTTTTATCAGTGTGACATACCCAGCACCTCCTACAGCTGTTAATTTCTCTCCACACCTTAGATTTGCTGAAGAGTACTACAGAAAGAAAATGACCCACTGGTTTCATCGCAACCCTTTGAAGGCTACAGCTCCCGTTTCATTCAATTTTTATGGGGTAGCTACCACTCCAGCTGCAACAAAGGTTTGCAAGTAAGTGTAGTTGTGATTCAGTTCACTCTCACTCACAATTTGGAGGACCCCTGTGAAAGTACTGGCTACTCTTCAGTTTTTGTTCCGAGGATGACTAGAAATGTGTAGGCTGAGAGATAATAAAGACACTGGTGACACTGAACGTTTAGTTACAAAGAATGAATTATCTGGTTTGCAAGTCTCTGAGCATACAGCCAGGCCTCTTATAATAATGCAGAGGCAAAAGAGCAAACATTTCATTGTCTTTCTGATGACTGTGCATTCTTCTTAAAGTAATTTTTACAAGTGAGCAAGGCATGAATGTTCTATTGTAGACAGGAATACAGTGAAAAGAGATCTCAGCTTATTTTGCAGATCTATTCTTATCTCTTCATATGCTCATCCCATTCTGATGTTGAAGAATGTTCCTGCTTATTGCTTCTCTTCCCCCTGCACCCAACCTCTTGGTAGATAAAGGCATAATTATTTTAGTTTGTGTTAGAACAACAGAGTGATAATGCATACTGATTTATCCATCGCTGTCTGTCCAAAATGGTTTGTACTTTAAACTGTAGAGTCTCAATTGTATGTGTGCAGAGGAGAAAGGAAGATTTTTTCTGTATTTATTGGCATCTTCCTCATAAAGTCCTTGAGATCAGATAGTTAAATTGAATGCTTAGCTTCATTTTTATAGCCAAAAGGGTGGTGTTGTATACATAGGTGGGTGGTTTCTTAATAGTACATTTTCGGGTGGAATTTATTAGATTACTTTTTTTTTCCCCACTCTGTACAGTGATTTGAGATTATCTCGAACACGACTGTTGGAGCTGTTTACAGACTCGAGTTGTAATCCAGAAATGATGAAAAATGCAACTGACTTGTACTTCTCACTCTTGCAAGGTAGGGACATTTATTAGCAATGCTTCTAATACATTGAGAGGTATATCACTTGAGGTTGAGTAATACTTCTCAGAATGTGTATTACGCTGATCTTCTGTAAAGAACCTTTGAAGTTCTCAGGAAGGAGAGTGTCTTCATGGGTACTCTCTTTGATACCAAAGTACTGGTACTCACCAGGCCCTTTCTCCAAGTTTCAGTGTCCTTTGTGACCCTGCCAGTACTAAGTGTTGGCAGTCCTCTCCTCTTGCTCTTAGCCTCATTCTGTTTCCTGCTGGAGGAGAAAATGTTTATTTATCTGTTAGATTGTGGTGAATTGCTCCTTAAGTATAAATTGAGTTAATTAGTTGATAGAAGACGCTTTAGGCAAACCAGAACTTTACACCAATGCTAAGATAATAGGCTTGCTGGAAGTTTACACTTCTAGTGCTGTTTGTCTTAGGTGCATATGTAGGTGGTCATTAGTGTAATAACTACATCTTCAGTAGATGGTCACCTATGATGACACATTCTTTTGAAACCTTCTTCCTGACAATATTGCTTTCTTCCTGCTGACATTCTCAGCAGTCAGGTGTTCAGACAAGTTTCTTAGGCCTGAGTGTTCAGGAATCAGTCAGTTCATGGAAACTGTGATATTTCAGTCTGTAGTGAAGCAGCTCAAGTTCCAAGGCCTGGATTACTCCTCCCTGAAAAATCCCTTGGGCCTGTATATGCAAGGATTTCAACATCCTGTAGCATGAGCTTCATCCCACTGGCTGCTGCTTTCTGGGCTGCCAGGTATTAAGAACTAATTTCCTGTAGCCCTGGAGACAAAGGAGATGATGACTTGTTGACTCCATGCTTACAAGCCCTTTCCCCTCTCCCTGTTGACCAAGCATCTTTTCCTGGAATTGCTGATTGCCAGTATGGTTTTCAGGGACAGTCACTCATCTCAAGCAGCCTCATCCGTCATGCACCTGGGTCAATTCAAATCCCAACTAGTCACCATAAGGGACATGCAGACATCTGCAAGGTTTTCCCTGAGCAATCAAGACTCATAGGGTTGAGTCGGTAACCGGTTAGGCACAGAGTTTCTTGTCAGTAGCCAGTTTGGGTTTTTGCACATCTTGTTCTCAAGATATTGAGGAATAAAAGCCTCAGGAAGAAACACATGTTTTTGAGTGGTACAGCAAGAAACATCCTTTAATCTATATCCGTATTTTGATGTCTGTTCTTTCCTTACTCATTTCTGTTTCTTACTTTGAGATTTCCTGTCGTTACATTTTTTTATTCTATAGGTTTCATCCTTTCACTGGATGACTCTTCCCAAGAATGCAAGTTGAGATATATACAGAATTTCAAGTGGACAGACACATTACAAGGACAAGTTCCAAGGTGCTTATGCTTTTATGACTACAGGGTCTGCAGTTGTTTTCTTCTGGGCTGTTACTTATATGCACATGTGCCAACACAGGTGTGAAGGAAAACTTAGAAGTGTAACAAAATGTTGAACATAAAGTTGTTTCCAAAAACTTGTTGCTTTGCATTTTTGTTCTGCATTAAGTGTTCTGAAGCATGTCTTGCCTTTATGTAAAGGTGTGGTAACACATGATAACGGTAGAAGGATCCGTTGTGTCTTAGTTCATCTACAAACTGCATCTACACTTGGCTAGAGCAGTGCAAAGGAGAACCTTGGGAGTATTGGTGAATAGAAGATGATAGCACAGATCACTAAAGTTTAAAACGTTTTTGTTTGGCTCTATTGCCTGACCAGTATCTTCAGAATTTTTTTTGAGCACAAATGTTGCTGAAAATTTGTTTTTGTCCTCTTCTTACATGTACTCCTGGTACAAACAAACAAGGGTTCTGTTTTAAGTAGGAATATGGATCTGTAACCTTCTGGATTATTCAATTATCTTCTGCTGTTGTAGGTAATTGTGTTGTATACCCACCCTTACAAATTTGTCAAGCTCTATCTAGAAGTGCTCTACTTCTTCAAAGCTTTTATTCCTCTTGGAAAACAATTGGTTGATTAGGAGTCTCTTCTAATTTTCTCAAAGTAATACAAACTTGTACTTTTCTGCAAACTTCCCACTTCCAACTTTCTTTTTAAAATTTACTAGTTCCTAAGCTGTACTGAGCTTGTGATTGCAAGTTCAGTCTTTGCAAAGACCCTGTTATAAGCTTCTGAAATTGCCTGCCATTTGCACATGCTGTTTGACTGCAGTTACATAAATACTTGCAATGACATTCATTTGAGGGAGATATAATAGACTCTGACTTATTAACTTAGTGGCTACAACTTTTAAAGTAGACATTCCAGAGCAAGGCTTTCCACAAAATGTGCAATTTAAGAACAAAAAAAAAAAAAAGGCAAAAATGTCAGCCACACCCAAAGCTAAACAAATACCAAGTTACTGCTTTTAAATAAAAGTTGCCAAATGGGAAGGGTAGGCATCTGAATGTGGGAAATTATAATTCTGAACTCGTAAGGGGAGTATGTAAAAACTGAAGTTTCTTTTAGGCAGCTTAGCAAGCAGGAGGTTCTGTGTTGGAAATGGTTGAAAAATATTTTATGGAGAGAAATGTTGATTTATGCTATGTGAACTATAACCAGAGAAGGCTTGTCAGAAGAAAAAGGAAAGCTTTTAATTGCTGGGGGGGGGGCTTTGTCTGTCTATCTTTAGTGCCCAGCAGGATGCAGTGTTTGAACTGATTTCCATGGGATTTAATGTAGCTCTGTGGTACACAAAATATGCATCAAGACTCGCTGGAAAAGAAGAGTAAGTGTGTTTCTTTTCTTAGTCATTCCATTATAGTAATATCCCACCAAAAAATTAGCAGGTTCTGGGTTTTGACTGCTGTAGTGCATGTCCAGCTGATACAACAGGAGACTAAGGAGGCAGTTAACTTTCCTTCATGTGCTGTAATGTCCAAATGCACTTAAGTCTCTTCTTGCATCCATGAACATAGTGTACTAGTACTCTGTGACTGTGGTATGAAGTGTCAGTGGTGAAAAAGTCGTTCATCAGTCCTGCTCTAAATCTCTAGGTGCAAATCTGAAATTCTCAAAATCATGGATGTGCTGGCTTTTAGCCTTAGAGCTTTCTAAAGCTTTAGCTTTTGACACTGAGGTTACTTTTTGCTTGAAAGTCATTAGAAGGTCTTATGTTACTTTTTCAGGTGAGTTCATTTGATTGTTTAATGGGTGGACACTGCAAGAAACTTCTCTACCATGGCTGTAGCACAGCAGTGGGACATGTTACTTAGAGACTCTTCATTCTTGAAGGATTCAAGATTAATCTAGACAAAGCCATAACCAGCCTAATCTACTGTGTTCAATAGTCCTTCTCCAAAGCAGGAGGTGGAACTAAATGACAGCTAGATGTCCTTTCTAAATGAACTTTCATTGATTCATTCTATGTTCTTAGTATAACAGAAGATGAAGCAAAAGATGTTCACAGGAGCCTGAAGATAGCAGCTGGGATTTTTAAACACTTAAAGGTAGAAAAACTGTCTTATGTGTTCTTTACATTGTCTCTAAGTACCTGAAATTTTGTCTTAGAAAAAACTTTGCTTTTCTGACAAGGTCACAGAATAAAAAAATACCTCTGACTATCTGAATGATAAAAAAGAAGGTTATTAATATGTTGTGCTACCACTCAATTCCTGCT